TCAAACAAATCATCTATCCTTGGCAAATGATACTTGTTTTTGATAGTAGCATGATTCAACTTCCGATAATCAATGCACAACCTCAAGAAACCATCTTTCTTCTTAGCAAACAAGACCAGTGCATCCCACGGTGATACACTTGGTCGAATGAAGCCTTTCATCCTCAAATCATCAAGCTGTTTCTTTAATTCTTCCAACACCACTAATGCCACAAGATACGGTGCAATAGAAATCGATACGGTACCGGGCATCAAATCAATAGTAAACTCCACCTTTCGATATGGAGGCAACTTTGTCAAGTCCTCTAAAAAAACATCCAAGAAATCATGAACAATTGCCGGATAATCCTTTTCCACAACATCATCTTCTTCAGCTAATAAACTAGCCAAGAAGCAATCACCATGACCTCTTCCACGAATTCCATAAAACAATGAAGTGTAGGAATCACTCCGATCTCTTATGAAAAAGAAGCAATCTCCCTTGGGAGTACAAACTGTGACTTTTCCTCTGAAACAATCGATCGTAGTATGAAATGAAGCTAACCAATTCATCCTGAGAATGACATTAAAACTTGTCATCTCCAAGAGGATAAGGTCAAACACAAAAGTCCTTCTAGCTATCACGACGGAACAACTCACAACTCGGCTCAAGGACACTAAAACCCCAACTGGCGTATCAACACAAAACGCTCGATCCATGAAACTGACCTCTAACCCTGATGCAAGTGCAAATGATGATTAGATGAAGGAATGAGATACACCAGAATTAAACAGAACACGAGCCCAAGAACCAAACACTAGGAAAATACCTCGGAGAACTGATGGACCAGAAGACGTATCAGCCTGCGTAAGTGCAAAGACACGTCTCTTTGGTGCCTGTGCCTATGAACTGCAAACCTGAACACCTGACTACTGTGCTGACATAGTAGGAGTATCTCTCCTAGCTGGTCGTGAGTCCGCATAAACTTTGAAGTACTGTGCCGTTATCAATGGCCTCATTTGGTAATGAAGACTAGAAACAAACTTCCTTGTTTTGTCAACCTCATTTCTCACTAACTCAGGAGCAAAGCGAGAAAGAGAGGTGAACTTGTTTTTGTATTCCGTCACTGACATATTGCCTTGTATAAGATCATCAAACTGTTTCCTTAACTCCCACCTCTTGGTAATCGAAAAATACTTTTCATAGAATAGCTCCTTGAACATATCCCAACTCATGTCCTCCACCTTGTGCTGGTTAGTGACCGACTTCCACCAAAGCTTGGCGTCCTTAGAAAATTTGTAAGTGGCCAAAGTGATTTTCAACTGATCATCTAACACATTCATAGAAATTAAGTGGTTTTCCACTTGGTCGAGATAATCATCCGCTACCATTGGATCTACACAACCCTCAAACATCACTGGTATAAGCTTCACAAACCCTGAAATCAACTTGAGACGTTTTTGCATTTCCGTCTCCTCTGTCTAAACTACCAGTTGTGGTACCGACTATGGAAGAGAAGCAATCGTAGCCCTCAAAGCATTCTGCAACAAACGATTCAGTACCAGTTCAGCCGAACCTTCACCCTCTTTAATGGGCGTTTCAACATCGTCCCTTCTAGTGGAAACACCTCTTAGGGGAATCAAGCCCCTAAGAAGTGTATCCTCTTCAACTAGTTCCGCAGGATTGGAGCTAGAGCTTTCACCAACATTACCCCTTGTCGGCCTAGAGCCAACTCCCCTTGGTTCCTTTCGCTATGGCATTGTGCTAAAAAAAAAAAAGAAAATGAGAAAATGGTTCAATAACAATGACACTAAGGTCCAACCGAGAACGACTCAACACAAAATGATACTATACTAACACTTAGCATGCAAGGTTATACAATAAGCACATTGGCATAAACACATAAGCACGTTAGCACGTAAACAGTTAAGCATGCTTTTCAAATAACAAAACACTTTAGCAAATAGCCACATAGATAGGCAAATAACTTCCCACACAATCTTATGCAGACTTTACTCGTCGTCCTAAGGGTTTTTGAACCATCACTCTGATACCAAATTTGGAACAATCCAAAAAGATACCAAAATAATAATCATAATAATATATATAATTTTCGGCATGACCTCCGTAGAAAAAGTCCCTCTACAACCTGTTAAAGTACATAAAAATGAAATGGCATCTCTTGGACCTTCAAAACTAATCTAACATGTCCCAACACACAATGCAAATAATATATTTCAACATTTCTTTCATCCATTCATTATGCCTTAACATAGCTCATTTTATGGTGCAACAACCATATAACATTTAATCCAAATATCATAATTATAGCCTAAAAACATGGCTAAGATCAAAAGTCCATGTCTTTCAACATTTAGACATCGTATATTAAAGTTACAGCCCATGAATATAATTACAATAACAAGAGTCCACAAGTCTCAATATAGAATACAATATGCTAAGTTTTACAAAAATAGTGGAACTTAGATACAAAAATAATAAAATGATCATTTATTCTATACTAGGCCTGTGGTGGAATGTCATCCGCCGTTTCCTTCTCATTTCCTGAAAAATGTTAATAAATAGAGGTGTGAGCCAGCCGCTCAGTAGAAGGTGCCTAAGACACACCTCTTAAAACCCCATAAATCCAAACAAAGAATAGAAGACAGGGAAATGGGATCATAGCATTCTAGGGAAATAAAATAATAACATCAACTACAATAACCAAAGTTATGAATGAACCATGTCGTGCTATAAAGTGCAATGTCGCTCCCCATTTTTTTTTTTTCAAAACCTTTTTCGTCATCATTTCTAAACCGTTAGTATAACCCGGCCCATGGCAACTCCATGGCGCCACGAGAGAAGGATTGGCTAACTGTCCCTAACCCATGGCAATTCCATGGCATCATTTAAGGCTCAGGTAACTCAACCACGCTAGGGCGCTCTCCCCAATTCCTTCTAGGCCACACTAACGCCACGGTCCCTAGGCAACTCCTAGGCTGCCGAGTTTTTTGCAAACCCTTTCAAAACTTTTCCCCAAAAACCCGTTTCATTTCTTTCAAAACCATATTCCCATTTCTTTCCCAATGAAGTGGATGGGTGCTTCATACTTCACAATGTCATGCCAATAAAGAATTTCATTCTTTGCAAGTTAAATATTCACAATATACATGCCTTGTAGAAAAATTTTAAAATTTTACATCATATTTCTAAGTCACAAAATTCAGCACATAAAACACAATAGGCATGAAATTATCATTACTTCAGCATGTTTATTCATCATATACCAACTAATAATTATTCATACCTCATATACAACATATAACAAATATTGCATGAAATATACACAAATTAGATATGTTATAGCACAAATTATGAAGAATTAACTCACAAAGTACAAGAAATTGTGGATTAGAAATCCTTACCTCTTAATTGAAGAAAAGCCCCAAAATTCCCAAAATCAAGCCCTAATGTCAAAATCCAAGGGTTGGGCTAAATGGTGCTTGGCTCCTATCAAATCGACGGCCTCAACGAGCTCTCCGACTTTGCTTCACAACGTTTTAACAAATTCCAAAGGGATAAAGCTAGATCAAGCCTAAAATGTGGAGGGAAAAAAAAAAAAAAAATGAAATGCCGGGAGGGAGAGATATTTCATAGAGAGAAGAAAAAGAAGCAAAATGGGTCTGCAATGACCCATTAGTCATTATAATGCCTTAAAGTAAGAGTGGGTCCCGCAGCTAAAATAAAAAAAATTCTTTTAACACACACACACACACATATATATAATCATAAACATTACACTTGGACTCAAAAGTTCATTTTTTTCCCCTGTTATTTGATGAGCAATTTTTATTTGATCTTTCTACATAGTGGTTGTGGTCCTCTTGCTATTCTGGAGAATGAAACTTAAACTAGTGTTCTGTTTTATGTTGTCAAAAGGACTTTTTTTGTTTACACCACTTTTTAAATGACAAATTTGGTTAGATCCCATTTTGTTTAGTATTGAATCTTTTATCTCTTTGGAAAATTGATTCTAGATATCTAAATTCATTATAGAGGGCATCCCTTTTTTTTTTGGTTTAGTTTATTCCAAGTGCTTCTCTCTCCTTTTGTTTTGGCACATTGATGTGTATTAGGAGTGAATATGATAGCTCCCTTTGTTTGGCACATTGATGTGTATTAAGAGTGAATATGATAGCTTGTTTAGACTTTTATTTTTGACAAATAAAGCTTATATGTTTTGTTGGTGATTCCTATTATCTACCTTTGACATTTTCAGGAGTTAATAAAATACAAATTTGTCATCACCACTTCCAAATTGGTCTTGCCTTGGTTGTATTTAAAAGATTTTGCTTCCGATTAAGTTTTTTTCTAGGTATTTTTTGAAATTTTTTACTGGATTGGAATGTGTCAATTACTTTTTAGTTTGGAATTTTCTGATTTCTTCCTCCCCTTATCCTAAACCATTGAATGGATCAAATTTACAGTACTTTATGGTTATAACTTTAGTTATGAGAATGTAGAAATATTCAATTTGAGTATCCTAACCCATTGATTGGTATGTTAGATTGTTTGGTCATGTACTGTGTTCTTATTGTTTATAAAAATGTGTTTTAGTTGTTTCATATAATCTTTTGGACTTTGCAGAGATAACTCGTTACATGATATTATGGTATGTTAGCATTTTTTCTATTTGATCTTATTTAAAAGGAAACACATCCCTCTTTTTGATTGCCTTGATTTGGTACATCTAACTATGCTCTCATATTTAGTCATCTTCATTTAATGAATTTTATTCAGTTCAATTTTTTTAAAGATGAAGATTGAGGATGTTTTTTACCATAAGAGTGTTCATTCATTTTGGATCAAGTGATCTGGTTTAGTTCAGGGGATAGAGTTGAGGATTGAGTTTTTAGTTTTTAATTTAGGAATGTTTTATCATCTGGTATTAATATGTTATGTTCAGTTGATTGCTGGACTTGCATGATTTTATTTTATTTTATTTTTTATTTTTTTTGCAGCTAGCCATGTTTGTGCTTGTAACTACGGTAGAGCATTTTTCAACTGGCATCCATTTGTGTCAATTGTGGGGAGGCTATTAATGATGATACAAACCAATTGTTTGGGTTTAGATTTGTCGGTTGCTTCATTGGGCCTGACCTTCCTTTTCAACTCTTCATGATTTGGTGATATAATTTGATAATAATATCAGACAACAAGTTCAGAAAATGTTGTTCTCTTCTTGGGGGATTTGGCAAAAAAAAATGAATGTATGGTTCACTATTCTTGATGCATCATCATCATTTATCCAAGCTTCTTTGCCGTTTTGAGTGGTCTGTCAGCCAGTCCATGTTGATTTTTCATGGAGGGTATGCCCTCTTTAAGTATGTACTAAATGCTTGATCTTTTGGTTCAATATAGCATATTCATTAATGAAAAAAAAAAATTATAGTTGAATATCATTGGATTCAATTTCTTTTGTAGAAAGTTTATTTTTATTTTTATTTTTATTTTTTTATGGATGCAATTTATGAATGAATGGGTCTTTTGATACACACATCTTATTAAATGTCTCTATCCCAATCCATGCATAATACACACGTCTTAATATTAAATATTGGTTTACTGAATGCACTTAATTTATCTGATGATGGTGCAGCACAAATGGGAGCCCTTAGAACTCATCTGACGAGTCCAATGTGGGCGTCATTCAGAGACAATGCTAGATGAAGTTACTTTTATAATTCTCCAATGTTTTGCTTTGATTAGCTATTTGTGTAATTCTCTAATATTTTGTTTTGGTTATGTATCACTAAAATTAATGTTTGTTCAACTAAAAGTGCATATGACACTTGAAGTAATTCATGTAACTCTTTTATTGTATTTAAATTTAGTCAAATTTTAATTAAACTTGATATATTGTATTTGTGCAATATTTATTAAGTTAAAGAATACTAGTTAAAATGAATTCACCTCCAACACTTATTTAAATATATATATACATATACATTAATAGTTAATTTCATAAATTAAAGAAATAAAAAAGTGAGGTACAATAATATTTTTATTTATTTTCTTAGTGCAGAAAACTATTTTCAAAAACTCATACAACCAAGTAATTTTATGAGTTTTTGTTTTCCGGAAACTGTTTTGTAAATTCTCTTAACCAAGCAGGTTTGAAATTTGAAAAAATTGAGAACTGTTCTCTATTTTGATTCTCTGAAAACTGTTCAAGAACAGTTTTCAGAAATGCAATCCAAGCAAGGCCTAAGCTTTGAACTACTTTATACATGGCCAAACCACTAATCTCGGTTAAGGGTGGTAATTCATATTGGCGTGTTGTGTTTGTGTTAACACGATTACAACACGAACACGATTAGGGCCGACATGAACACAACACGATTATTAATCGTGTCTAAGACACTTGACACGAATACGACACGATTATTACACGTGTAATACAATACGACACGCGTAACTAGTTTAATAAATGGATAAGACTTTACACTACACGAAAAGACACGTTTAAGTCATTTTTTACACGAACACGATATATTTATCTGACACGTTTAATTAATCAGGTTAATCCTGTCATAATTGTGTTTACAGGGTCAAACACGAACACAACACATTTAGTTAGCGAGTCAATCGTGTCGATACGATTACGAAACAAATACGATTAGCTCAAACCCAAACCCTCTTATCTCGTGTCATATTCGTGTCGTGTTGTGTTAGTGTGTAGTGTCAAATATTGTTACCCCTAATCTCAGTAGACTAAATACCAAACACTATAGGAAGGAAGTCATGATGGATAGCCCAAAATTTGGAAAACTTAAGAGGGTGGATTTCCTAGGTTCATTTAAATCCAACTTAACTGCCGCAAGAGAATGATCAGACACATCAAGGGGTAAAAAAAACACACTTATTGTTGGATGTAAAATATTTTTCAGAAAATATTTTTTTATTTTCTGGTGTTTAGTTGTCATAAAAAATAAGAAAAAATATATTAAAATTTAACAAAAATAATTTACCCATCAATTTTCAGTAAGTCATTTTACATGTCCTGTCGATATGAGGAGCCCAACTTTCTTAGTTACCCTTCCTTTAAGAATATAATTTGATGGTGTTTGTCACCTGAGAGAATCCATAGTAAAACGATCATGGAGAAACTAATCGAAAAATAGAATGTGATAAATGTCTTCTTTCCTTAGTTGAGTAAGAATCATAAATAATAATTAAAAAAAAAAAAAATTCTATACATTAATCACGGGGAGAAGCAAAACAATGGATCAATTGGGCATTGAACTATAGACATTGGATTCCAAAGAATTCAAATTAAGCTTAAATTAGAGTGTTAATTGTTATTAATAAGAGGCCATGAAGATATAGTACTATAACATGCTTCTCATTTGAAACTTTAACTTTGATCTCTATAAGACCAAAAAGAATTGTATTTCCTTGTTATTCATCAAAAATTGATAAAGCTTCAGACTTTTGAGAAGAAGATGAAGAATTTTTAGCTAAATGAAGAATATGTTGGTGGGATCACAACCAATTGGTACTTTAAGAAATTAGTAATGTTTATAGGGTGGTTGGATTTACTGGGATTGGCTTGAGGATTATAATCTGGTACATTATGAGGTTGTTTGGTTAAGGGGATGGTTATGTTGTTTAGGGATGTAGGAATCAGAAGTGACAAGGATTATAATGTGTTCGTTAGATCTATGAGCATCATGATTTTCATTGTTTGACTAAAGTTGGAAAAGAGTTATTTATTAGTTGAGCATAAAGTGTGGGACCAATTGGGACACAATGATTAGGATTCTTAGACTATCTCCAATGCAAAATGTTATTTTTGCATGTAAAATCTATATTTTGAGATGTGCTACAGTGTCAAAATGTTATATTTTAGCAATTCTGCTCTAATGGTACATTTCATCCAAAATACTATTTTTTAACACAATCACCATTTTTTTTTCAACTATCATTCCCAACTACCATTTTCAACTACCAATGATAAATTTTCTGAGTTATGCACATAACCAAATCAAAGTTTGGAACTCAATATATGAAGGAAAAAAAAAGGTGTGCTTTCTCTGGACATTCTTGCAATTATAATATATCATTAACAATATTAATGTCTCAAAAACCTTAATTCTAAAACATTAATTCCAAGAAGAATCCAACTGATATTGTAAAAGCACATTCATTTTATTCCACATACATGGATATAACTAATGAAATAGTTGGTTAATAGAAGAAAAACAAAGTTTTGAAGATAGTAAACCTTATTCAACCATAAAAATTCATTACTAAACCATACGGGTTTAATTTACAAAATGGAATTAATTGTGTTTAATTCTTGAAGAAATGAGTTGAATTAGCGAATAAAATAGTTGATTTATAGAAATAAAGTTTTGAAATAGTTAATAAATGATTGAGAGAGAGAAAAAAGAGGGGAAAAAAAAAAAAAACAATAAATGGGTTTAAATTTTGAAATCAGCTATTCATAAATAGTAAACCTTATTCAACCATAAAAAATCAATACTATACACTAAAAGAGTATAGTACATGCATATTTTTTCCTTAAATGCTTCGAGTTTATGTTCTATTTAAAAAATATGGCTTTAAAAATATGATTGGCTCAAGCCAAAATCTTATTCTTAATTCGGGAAAAAAAAAAAAAAATCGTATATCTTGTAAGGCTTTGGAAAAAAAAAAAAAAAAAAAAAAAAAAATTGGCAAAAGAAACAATTTTTTATGTTCTTATTAGAACATACTGATGCATCGGGAGAGGTAGATTACGCATCCTAGGCGGAATTGTGTTTTTCAAAATACGGATTTAGAGAGAGAAAGAAAAAGTGAAAGGGGGGAAGCATAGAAGAAGCGTGGTAAAGGAGGAGATGAGGGGTTTGTGCCTACTAGAAGACATGACATGTATAATTATAGAATTGAGTTTTTTCAACAAAATTTACAAATCTAAGAATAGAGATATATCTATATATATATACATATATGAGGATGAGAGGGGAAGAGAAAATACAGATCTGAGAATTTACCCGGTCACTGTCGATAATCGTCGATCGTTGCAGATGAGAGGGGGAGAGAGACGACAGTGCAGCACAACCACAGAGATAGAAAACAATAAATAGAGATGGAAAGCAATGGACAGGAAAATATTGGACAAAGATAGAAAGCGAACAAACAGCGTCGTACAGAGCGATTAGAAGACTTGCCAAAAAAAATTGGCAGCTCCTATATCTGAGAGTAGATTTGACATTCTCAAAATTTGAGAGCCCAAATGAAAGCCCATTGGAGAGCCCACTTTTTACACACCTCTCAAATTTTGAGTTTGACAGCCCAAATGAAAGAGCATTGGAGTTGCTCTTAAGGTTGTTCTTTCCACAATTTACTATAGTACAATCCAGCCATCAACGGTTTCCTGTCCTTGACTTGGGAATAAATTGCTTGAGTACCCACTATTGATTAATTTTGGGGCATGTTTTTTGGATATTGCAAAAGCTCTTGCAAGTATGACAAATCTTAAGACACCAGTTGGACTCAACTTTGATGGTAATACACTCATTATCTCACATTGAGTTTAAATGAATCCACCAAACTCATTGAAACATCAACCTCTAGTGCTGCAAATGAACCTAGCTTTACCTTGTTCGGGATTAGCTCGCCAGTGCTTGTGTTTAGCTCCAGCTCAAGCGAGAAACAAAGCTCTAGCTCACTTTTTTGAAAAAAAAAGAAGGAAAAGCTTCACATATATTCACTATTTGCTTTCAAATATGAAAGAACATAGACCTTCATTCTTCGATCATCACCTATTATTCCCATCAATAGTAAAATGGGATTGAGATGTCGCTATTATAAGTGTTCTATTATAAATTTTTCTTTAATATTTCATATCTAGTTATATTCTGGTAAAAAAAAAAAGTATTTTTGGTTCAAATCTTGTTCTCCGCTTCAACTTTATTTTCTGTTATGCTGCTTCATTTTTAGCTGTTATGAAACGCATATACCTATCTTTTTCTGTTCATAGCCCATATTTTTTGTTTATACCAATTCATTTGAAAGACATTTAGGCTTTAGGGAACTTAGTTTTAGGCACCGAAACAGTAATAGGTGGTTTTACGTACCGATAACAGTCTAAAATGGCAAAACAAACATAAAACTCTATAGATTGTATTTGTAAATGATTAGTAAAAGAGCCTACTAATTATAAACATATAGTTCACATAAAAAGGATGTTGAATCCGATCTAAATCAGATTGGTGCTAGTATAAATGCCTTAATTGATATAGCAAGTAGCTCGAACAGACAATTCTTAGAAAAGTATAACATCAATACCACGAATATAGAGGCTTTTCTAGGTTGTATACAAGAGGCTATTGATGTTATCAATGTCAAAATTGAGCACTTAGCTCAACTTCTAGATCTGATAGAAAGCACAAAAACTAACGAAAAATTGATCTCACACTAAAAAGGCTAAAAGAAACAAAGGTTGCAAAACTAGAACACCTTTATTCGCTAATAATAGAGACTAAGATTTCTAGTTCTAGTTCTCAACCTCAAAATCTCTACTATTGAACCAAAGATATTCTTAAGTTTCAAATAGAAACAAAACAGTTCGACAAAGATGAATATGAGAATATAGTACAACTTCTTGATTGCTAGAGACATATAAAAACTGCATCTAATCTTTTGATTGATGAAAGAAATCACATCATTAATCAGATCAAAGAGACTTCTTTACAATATGAGAATCTCTTAGATTATTTTGGTTATCAAATAAATATGATCTTCAGAAGTGACTTGGATAAATATATTATTAACATCCTTACAGAAGAATCTGATGAAGAAAAAGACTCATCGGAATTATATGATGAAGAACTCCAAGCTAATCCCTAGCCAGAGTCTTCAACTC